GGAGCAGAAGCAGGAACAGCAGTGGGAATGGACATGTTGGGAGCAGGAACAGCAGCAGCAGTAGCAACTGGAGCAGCAGCAGGAGCAGGTGTTGTGGTGGCACCAGCAAGTGGCACAGGGTCAATAGCAGCTGCTCGTGCTGCCAAAGAGGCATTGGCGGGAGCAGCAGCAGCGGGAGCAGGAGTTGTGGTGGCAGCAGCAGGTGGCACAGGCGCAGGTGGTCTAGCTGCCATAGGGGCATTGGCAATAGCAGCTGCAGCTGTGCTGGAGGGAGGCGCAGGTGTGGTGGAGGGAGGCGGTCGGGTGGATGTGAGTGAAGTAAGGAACGCAGCGAGAGACCGGGGGAGAGGCGGCGTCGGAAGAGAGCGAGGTACGTGGGAGGAAGGGGGAGCGGCAGTGAGTAGCGGCTGGCCCCAGCCAAAGCCGTACGGCCGGGTGACAGGGAGAAGGGCGGATGGCAAGCCAGCAGATGCAAGCAGCTGTGGAAGGGAGTGGAGTGCGGTGGTGGCAGGTGGCACAGCGTGGGGGAAAGGGAAGCCCGGGGCGTGAGCAGCAAGAGGGGCAGGCATGGAGTGGGGAGCGAGAGCAGCTCGGAGGGCTGCTGCCACTATGAGCTCCGGGGCCAGCAGCGGTGCTGCCACGCCCGCTGCCAGCTGCCCTCCGCCTGCTGCTCCCCTGCCTGCCATGGCCGCCCCACTCGCCGCTGCTGCTGCCCCGGCCCGTGATGCCACCACACCGTCCTGCACATCCCCGTGATGAGAAGGAGCGGGGATGCCATCACGGGCGTGCGCCACCACACCATCCTGCGCATCCCCGCTCCTTCTTCTCTTCCGCCCTCGCCCACCACGCGTGCCCCCTCCTGCGCTCCTCCGTGCCACCATGCCAACTATCCCCTCCTTTGACTCCCACTCCTCACTGCTCCTCACTCCACTTTCCTCTACGCTCATGCTCTCACTGCTCTCACTCCCCTCACCCCTCTCCCACACCACCACGCGGGCCCTCTCAAGCCTCCGCCATGCGCGCCTCACCTCTGCTACCCGGTGGGCTGTGAGCTTCCCGGGGAAGGGGGTGGCTGCGGCAAGGGCAGCCCACGCAGACTGCAGCTGTGGGGCGGCCTGGGCGGCAGATGCCACCCGCACGCCGGCCAGCAATGCCAGCAGCGTGCTCACTTGAGGTGGCGGGGTCATGGGGGCATGTGGGCATGGAGGGGTCATGGGGGCATGTGTAGGGGCAGAAGCAGAAGCATTCGCAGCGGCAGCACCAGCAGTAGCAGCAGTGGCAACAGCAGCAGTGGTGGCATTAACAGGTGCGGCACTTTGTGCAGCGATGGCTGGAGGGGCAGAACGAGTGAAAGCATCAGCAGTGACAGCAGCGTGCAGGCTCGCATGCGAATGGAGGGTGGGGAAGTGAAAATCATTGTCCGTGTCAAAACCACCACCATCATTGTCCGTGTCAAAACCACCACCATCAGTGTCCAAGTCAAAACCACCCTCGCTGTCACCAGTAACGCCACCATCCCCACCATCGCCACCATCACTCTCCATCCCATTCCCAGCCGCCCTACGCCGCCCACCACCACCATCCTGCCGCCCCCCTTGTATCCACTCCTCCTCGCGCACGTCAGTCAGCCGGCGCCCACTCGCCTTGATCTGAGCGCGCCTCTCCCGTTGCTCCTCCGCCAGCGCCACCAGCGCTGCCACCTCCTCCTCCTTCACCTCACACCGCTCGTCCAGTATACCCCTTATCCTCGCCCTCACTCCTCCCTGCCCCTCACTCTCCTCCCCCTCCTCTCCCCCCCTTTCTTCAAACTCGTCCTCCGCCCGAACTTCCTCCCCTCTCCTCCCACCCAGACCGCCCCCTCGCCCTCTCGCCCCACCACCTGCTCTTCCCGCGCCACCAGGGGGGAGGAACCCCCAGCGCTGCATGAACTGCTGCACCCATGCCAGGCTGCATGTGAATCTCCGACCCACCCCCACCAACGGTGCCAGCCGCCTCGCATACTCCTGCACCGCCCTCACACACACCTGCTGCTGCTCCGCCCCCGGGCCCCCTTTGCTCCCCACCTCGCCCCCCCCACCACCCCCTGCAGCTCGCCTGTCCTCCTCCATCCTCGCTATAGCCTTCCTCACTGCGAGCGCAAGAGCCTCCTCCAGGCGGGTGTCAGCAGGGCGCAGTCTGACGGCGCCCGGCCTGCCTGCGCGGGAGAGCTGCACCAGCTGCCTCCAGTCGTCCTCCCTCAGCAACACCGCTGGCAGCCACACGTTCGTTACCCGCACGCCGTACCTGCCATGCCATGCCATGCCATGCCATGCCATGTCACGCCACGCCAAGGGGGAGGGACCCACAGGGAGGGGAGGTGTGGAGTGTGAAGGGAGAGAGAGAAAGGGGTGGGGAGAGGGAGGCAAGAGAATGTGGAAGGCAGCAGAAGCAGCAATAACAGAGAGAAAGGACAGAGGACTCTGGAGAGATAGGGTTGGGTTGACCAATTACAACCAGGATGCATGAAACAATTACAACCATGATGCATGAAACAGTTACAACCATGATGCATGAAACATTTACAACCATGATGCATGAAACAGGGAGGAAGGGAGGAGGTGGCGCGGGTGAGGGTGAAAGAGAATCTAGTCGTTCAGGCAAGGAGCAAAACGCACCTGGCGCCAACAGCGGCACAACGCACCTGGCGCCAACAGCGGCACAACGCACCTGGCGCCAACAGCGGCACAACGCACCTGGCGCCAACAGCGGCACAACGCACCTGGCGCCAACAGCGGCACAACGCACCTGGCGCCAACAACGCGGGCGATGGCCTGGGAGGGGAGGGAGGGGAGGGCGCGGGCGAGGGCGCACATGGCGAGCTTCACAGCGGGCGGCACCACCGTGTGGCGCCACCGCCGCTTCCTGCCGTCCGCCCCCTCCCCTGTGCGCCCCTGCACCTGCCCCGGCGTGCCCCCTGTGGGCTCAGCAGCCCACTGCTCCGCCAGGCGCTGCAGGCAGTCCAGCGGGCCCTCCTGCTGCTGCTCTCCCCCCGCTGCCCGCCCAGCATGCCCGGCAGCAGCAGCAGCAGGAGTAGCAGTGGCAGTGGCAGAGGCAGAGGCAGCAGCAGCAGCAGTGGCAGCAGGGCGGTCAGAGTGCAGTGAATGGCGCCCCTCTTCCCTCTCCTCGTCTGTCCCTCCACCATCACTGCTCTGCCCTTCCGTGGTGTTCCCATCAGTCATGTTACCATCAGTGGTGCTACCATCAAGCGGAAACTTTCCCCCATCTCCTCTCTCCTTACCTTTCTTCTTTCCGCTCCCCCCCTCCACCTGCTTGCCCCAGTTGCTCCCCAGCCCGTGCAGCAGCAGGGCCTTGCGAGCCCAGTGGCGGCTATACCGGAAGCCCTCTCCCACGCCCATGTGCGGCCCCACCTGTCTCGCATACTCCAAGATATCATCCCACCGCAGGGCCTCTCGCCCATACCGTGCCTCCATGGCCCGCACCCACGCCGCCACAGCCTCCTGCACCTGGGGGTGCGCGCCGCTGCGGTGGCGGATGAGGGTGGCGCCGTGGGCGGGCAGGGCGAGGTACACGTGGCTCTTCCTCAGAATGCGCCGCACCGCCGCCACATCCAGCGCCGCCGCTCCCGCCGCCTCCACGCCACTCGCCGCAACTCCCCCCGCTGCCAAGCTCGCTGCCCGGCCAGCAGCAGCGGCGGTGGCACAGGTGGTGGTGGGGGTTGCTTGGGGATGGCGGGCGGTGGCAGCGAAGGCGCGGTGCACGAGGCGGAGGATGTCTTTGGCCCGCATGTCGGGGCGGGCGGCCCTCAGCATGCAGATCACTCGCTTCAGCCGCAGACTGATTGCCGCCCGGTGCTTGCGCTTCCCACCCGGCGCCCGCTTCTCCCTCGCTGCAGCACGCTGCCTCTCCGCGTGCCGCCTACCAGCATCACCACCATGGGCGTCGCCACCACTGGCGTGATCGCTGGGGGGGTCCAGGCGGAGGTCCCCTGCTGCTGCCACTGCCGCCTCCACATCCACCAGCGCCCCTCCCACTCTTGCTGCTGCTGCTGCTGCTGCTGCTGCTGCTGCTGCTGCTGCTCCCCTCACTGCTGCCCCTGCTGGCGGCGCCGCCCTTCTGACTCCCTCGTCTGCCACGGTGGCTGCTGCAGCATCAGAGTCACACCCACCTGCTCGCTGCATGCCGGCACCCGCCTGCTCCCCTTCCACGCCAGCCTCTGCCAGTGCCAGCGCCAGCAGCTCTCGGCTGGGCTGCACCGCGCGTGCCGCCTTGCCTGCTGCCTTCATCCTCGCCCGCTCCATTGCTGCGCCTCTTGCTGTGCCGGCCAGCAAGTCTGCTCCGCCCTGCCAGCCATCTGCCTCTGCTGCCTCTGCCTGTGACACCCGGCCCCCATCGCCCTCCTCGCCTGTCCCCCCACCTGCCTGCTCCCTGCCCTGCTGCGCCCGCTCCCCTGACCCGCCCTGGCCCCTCCGCCGCCCCAGCTGCCCCTCGCCCCCCTCGTCCCTTTCCGCCTCTTCGCCTCTCTCACCCCTCTCCCCACCTTCGCCCCTCTCACCCCTCTCCCCACCTTCGCCCCTCTCACCCCTCTCCCCACCTTCGCCCCTCTCACCCCTCTCCCCACCTTCGCCCCTCTCACCCCTCTCCCCACCTTCGCCCCTCTCACCCCTCTCCCCACCTTCGCCCCTCTCACCCCTCTCCCCACCTTCGCCCCTCTCACCCCTCTCCCCACCTTCGCCCCTCCCCTCTCTCTCCCCGCTCTCACCCCCTTCCAGGTCGATGACCTCTCTGCCGGCTGTCAGTGACGTGTCCCGCCTCACCACCCTCATCCTCCCCCTACACGCACCCCTCCCTCCCTCCCTTCCGCCCGCCCTTCCCATTACTCCCCGCCCTTCCCTCCCTCCCCTCCTTTCCCTCCCTTCCCTCCCTCCCCTCCCTCCCCTTCGACCCCTTCCACCCTCACCCGTTCCATCCTCCTCACCCCCATCATCCTCCTCCCCCCCCTGCCCTCCCCCCTCCCCAGCATCGGCACCATGCGTGCGCGCCACCAGGATCTGAGCGCCAAAGATCTCATCTGCCACCTGCACCAGCGACGCCTCCGCACTGCCCGCTGCAGCAGCAGCAGCGGCATCGGCGGGGTCGTCATTGAAGTACGCCTCCCTCTCCTCCTCCAGGTCCCGCTTTGTGAACCCCCACCGCTCCTGGAAGCGCCACGCCCACCCGATGCTGTACCTGCCGGGGGGGAAGAGCACGAGAGGATAGTTTCACTGGGAAACCTTGAGTTGACATGAGAGACATGGCAAGGGGAGAGGTGAGGGTCCGAGGGCGCAGAGGAAGCAGCAAGCAAGCAACACATGGCACAGAGCCCCGCCTCCCCTCCCATCAACCCTGGCAGCACCTGAAGGAGGGCGAGACCCCAAAGGACGGGCCCAGCTCGCGGCCCTTGGCGCAGATCTGCTGCAGCTGCACCTTGGTGGCGCCGGGGCCGCCCTTCATGTCCCTCACCCACGCCACCAGCGCCTCCTCCAGCGCCATGTTCTCCGGCGCGCGCACGCTCTTGCTACTGCGCTGCGCCAGCGCGGTGCTCCAGTGGGCCGCGTTGTCGAGGATGCCGCGCACGTGCGAGGGGATGAGGCGAATGTGTGGGTACTTTGCGCGGCACACGTGCATGATGCCCGGCACGGTGATGCCGGGGCGCAGGCGCCGCAGCTCACAGATCTCGCGCTTCACACTCACGTCCACGTGCCGCCGCCGCCCGCTCCTGCTCCCTCCCCCGCCGCGCCGCCTGCTGCCGCCGCTGCTGCCGCCTGCCACTGCCTGCTCGCCTGCGCTGCCGCCTGCTGCCGCTGCCGCTGCTGCTGCTGCCGCGGGCACATGAGGTCCATCCGTTGTGTGAGGAGCAGCCACTGCGCTCCGTGGTGCTGCAGCAGGCGGGTGGTGAGGCAGCATGCCATCCATGCCTGCCTCTGCTGCACCGCCTGCTGCTGCCCCCTCGTCAACGGCACCCGTGGAAGCAGCGCCAACAACAGCCGCCCCGCCAGCACCAATCCCCCCTCCAGCAGCGGCGGCGGTAGTGGTGGCAGAGGCTTGTCTGAGGGCCTCACGAGCAGCTGCCAGGCCAGCAGCATAGCCCAGCTCATAGTCCTCCTCCCCCTCACCCTCCTCTCCCCCCCAATCCTCCCCTGCCTCTCCCCCCCACTCCTCCCCCCCCTCTCCTTCCCATTCCTCCTCTCCCGCTCCTCCACCCTCCCCCTCGTACCACTCCCCCCATGCCCCACGCCCCCCACCGTCTACACCCACACCCACGTCGGTGCGCCCAAGCTCCTCCCCACCACCACCCACTCCACCGCCACCCACTCCACCGCCACCCACTCCACCGCCACCCACTCCACCGCCACCCACTCCACCGCCACCCACTCCACCGCCAAGCTGCCACTCCGCCCGCCCACCCTCCTCCCACCCGCCCGCCGCAACACCAAACTGCCCCTCGCCGGCCCCTCCCCCCTGCTGCCGTTGCTGCTCATACTGACGCTGCTGCTGCTGCTGCTGCTGCTGCTGCTGCTGCTGCTGCTGCTGCTGCTGCTGCTGCTGCTGCTGCTGCTGCTGCTGCTGCTGCTGCTGCTGCAGCAGGCGGTGCAATCTCCCATCTTCTGAGCCCACCATCTGCTGCCTTGCGTGTGCCTCCTCGCCCCTTCGATGCCGATCCCCTTCCTCGTCGCCCTCCAACCCACACGCCATCTCCACTCTCCTTCCCCTCGCTGCACCTTCGTACTCCTCCCTATCCACACGCCTCTGCTGGGCCCCCACCGCTCCCAATGCCTCTCCACCACTCACCCGCCCATCGAGGTACCCCATTCCCCCCCCACCCGCGTCCCACCCCCTGCCAGCGTTCCCTCCTCTCACCCGCGCATCCCCACGCGCATGCGCGCCCGGCCCCATCCATTCCTGCCTGCGCGCCACACCTGCGCCCCTCCCTCCACGCGCCACCATCCCTCGCCCGCGACTGCCTTCCGCTTGCCCCGTTCCGACCCCCATTCTCCCCCTTCCCGCGCCCGCGCCCTCGATTGAGCGCACCCTACTCCCTCCTGCGCCGCCACCAAAGCCCCTCCCCCTGCCTCCTCTGCGGCGGGATACGCGCCCCTCCGCGCCTCCCCCTGTCCATCCCTCCGCTGCATTCGCTGCTTCCCCTCCTCCGCCCACCGCTCCCACTCCTCCGCCCGTCCCTCCGCCCTCCCATGCAGCCACTGCCGCTCCGCGCACGTTTGCGTCAACCTCCGCGGCCCCCTCCACGCCCCATCCAGTTCCCCCAGCCGCGAGTCCTCCTGCTCCCACGTAGCCGCCCTCCGCGCCTCCCCCAATCGCCCACCAAGCCCCTGCAGTCGCCTCCGCCACCCTGCCCACCGCCTCCCCCCTCGCACTTCCTCTCCTCCGTCTTGCACCTCCCCCGCTTTTCCCCCTCCGTGCCCCCTTTCCCCCTCGCCCCCTCCCTCCTCCGCCGGGCTCCATCCAGGCAGCGCGCGAGGAGCGCCGCGAACTGACGCGTGGCGTTCAGCCACTGGCTGGGCTACGAAGAGAATGCAGTTGCCGCGGCTGGGCGGCAACAACGCACGGTCGCATGGCCTCTAAACTCGCCTTGGGGCGGCTTTAGACAAACGTGCAAGCTACGCCTGCCGCACGCCCGCTGGCCTAGCTGCGCGGTCTCGCGGTGCATTGCGCGTGGTGGTGCGGGACTGGTGTGTTACGCCTGTGGTCTAGAGGGGCGGTATGATAGAGGAAGTCACGGGTGAGCACAGGGTGCACGGAGGGTGAGCTATCTGCGGAGCGGAGGGTGGGTGCGTGTCGGAAAGAGATGTACGGGTCACGTACGTTCCCGGAATGCGAATTTTAGTTTATTGTAACAACGTTTACAACACAAGCCGGATGTAATGAATACGAATTCATTACTGTAGAGGCTGTTCCTAGCGAGGACAACCCCGAGCACTTCGCGTCAGTTTCGAGGTTCGGCCTACACTTCAGCCCGAACCACTTCCGAGTCGCCCCGCACCAATCGCGACACTTCCAACCAGGGCTGATTTTAGGGCGTGTCCAGCGCGTACGTTTACGGTTCGTTTACAGTTCATGACTCATGGCGCAACACGATATCAAATGGTTCAAAGCGATTTGCAGTTTCCACCATTTTTAACCGTGACGCAACAAGGTCAACCGCACAGGATGAACTGTAAACGTACGCGCTGGACCCGCCCTTATCAGACTATTTTAGTCTGATTGTCTGAAATCTCAGACTCTTTTTTTCGCCTTTCCTGAAATTTCAGTATTCCTGTATTCTGAACTCTGAAGGCCTCAGACCTGTTAGTTTTTCAACTCTGAAAATTTCAGAGTACTTCATTGTGCGATACTGAGACTCGAGACTACAGGGAGTATGGCCCCTGAATTTGCCGAATTTCAGTCCTCCCCCCTCCCCCTCTCTCGAATTACATTCAATTCCCCCCCTGCCCCCCTCCCCCCTCCCCCTTCCCCCGCCCCCTCTTACTCCTGCTTCTCGCCAACTCCGCAACGTTTTCCCTAGGCCAAACTCGCTTGACAGATATTCGCTATTCACCAACTCGGATGCGGTTTTACAAACTTAAAACTTTTCAGACTAATGATTTTTTCAAACCTGACATTTCAGAGTACTCAGAACTTGGGAAATGACCCTCAGACTAAACGAAATCTTTTTCTCCCCTGCCTCAGAGTGGGTTTTTTTGAAACGTCAGCCCTGCTTCCAACCCATCCACGTCCCGAGGTCCTCGCCTAGCACGGTTTCGACCCTATAAATGCTCGCTTCTTTATCATTCTCATCATTCTGTATTCGACATCCTTTTTAAAAAGTCTTCCGCGCACTCTTCTTAGTACAACTCATAACACTTGGTATCAGAGCCTAAGTTCCTAGGTTCCTCGTTTTTTAGAGTGTATTACTCCTCGGAGGGGGATAGGGAAGGATGCCGTGGTGACAGGAACAGCGCACTAGCCGGCCAGGAGAACGGATAGTTGCTCCTAGCGGCCATGTTTTTACGAGCGCTCCTGCTGCACCGACGGATCCTTGCCCTCGACGGTCAAGATCGACCGTGGCCTCCCTCCCCCCGGGTGGCGGACAGCTTTTGATGTCGTCGCATTTAATGCGTAAGTCAGTTGCATGGCGTTTTCGTCAATTTCGGGGTTAACTCAGTGTGGCAGCTGGCGTCGAAGGAAACGTCACCACTGCACGTCCGAGATTGACGGAGACGATCGTCGTGCGAGTTGCGTCGGCACGTGGTCGTCAACTGCGCGCGACAAAATCGGGAATTAATGTGTGCGGCACGTGGCGTCAAGCGTTATCGTCATGTTGCGCGCGAGATTCTCGGAGGTCTTCGGCACGTGGTGAACGTCGTCACTGTGCGCGAAGATTTCGGGTGGCTTCACGTGTGAAACGACAGCTGGCCGGGCAGGCCAGGCGCATGGTGATTTGCGTCGGAAAATGCAAACGGCGAGGAGAGACGGCGTGACGACTGCCCGAAGAAAGCGGGGGTCTACCATCGTTCCGCCCGGGTGTGGCCGGTGTGGCTGCAGGAGGGTGCGTCGTTGGCGTTTTCGGCAGGTGCGGCACAGTGTGGGATGGAAGTTATTTTCGATTCGTCGAAAAGTTTCGGAAAAGGCCGCTGTCAGAACATTATATAGCTTATGCTGTTGTGTAGGCTATAGTGGGGTATCCCATAGGGGGTACAACCCAATTAGGGTTTCCTATATGTACTCACTTCATTCATAGTTCATCCATTCGCGTTCTCCTTTTCACATGGTATCAGAGCAGGTCCCCTCCTAGGGACTGTTTCTAGGGCCCACCGAAGCGCGCCCCGAGGCGCGCTTTCCTTTTTTTTAGCGACCCTCCGTGTCGCCCCTAGCGGCCCGTTGCGCCGCCCTTACCTACGCGAGCCCGCCGCCCTTACGTCGCGGCCCAGCCGCCCTCACGTCGCGGCCCCGCCGCCCTCACCTACGCGGCCCCGCCGCCCTTAAGTCGCGGCCCCGCCGCCCTCACGTCGCGGCCCCGCCGCCCTCACGTCGCGGCCCCGTCGCCCTTGCCTACGCGGCCCCGCCGCCCTCACGTCGCGACCCCGCCGCCCTCACGTCGCGGCCCCGCCGCCCTCACCTACGCGGCCCCGCCGCCCTTAAGTCGCGGCCCCGCCGCCCTCACGTCGCGGCCCCGCCGCCCTCACGTCGCGGCCCCACCGCCCTTGCCTACGCGGCCCCGCCGCCCTCACCTACGCGGCCCCGCCGCCCTCACGTCGCGGCCCCGCCGCCCTCACGTCGCGGCCTCGCCGCCCTTGCCTACGCGACCCCGCCGCCCTCACCTTCGCGGCCCCGCCGCCCTCACGTCGCGGCCCCGCCGCCCTCACTTCGCGGCCCCGCCGCCCTCACCTACGCGGCCCCGCCGCCCCACTTCGCGGCCCCGCCGCCTACGGTACCGGCCCCGCCGCCTATCCTCACCGGCCCCGCCGCCTACGACCGCCGAGCCGCCCTGCCGCCGAGCCGCCCAGCAGCCGAGCCGCCCGGGAGCCGAGCCGCCCTGCCGCCGAGCCGCCCTGCCGCCGAGCCGCCCGGGAGCCGAGCCGCCGAGCCGCCCTGCCGCCGAGCCGCCCTGCCGCCGAGCCGCCCTGCCGCCGAGCCGCCCGGGAGCCGAGCCGCCCAGCAGCCGAGCCGCCAAGCCGCCCAGCTGCCGGGCCGCCCTACTGCCGAGCCGCCCGACCTGCCCTGCCTGGTGAGCACAGCACCACTGTTACTGCGTGCCCTTCCCCTACTGCTTGCACTACTACACTGTCGTCGTCATGGCTACCCCTAGTCTCCTCGCTTTTGACGCTGAGGGTCGAGCCATTGACTTTGAGGTCTGGGTCGACGACCTGCAGCTGTTCTTACAGTGCGATAGGGCGGACGGTCTTTCCCTCTTTGACCTCACCTCTGGCGCCTCTCCTGCCCCTGCTGCTGATGCTGACCCCACTGTTCGCTCTCAGTGGGCCACCCGCGATGCTGCTGCACGTCTTGCTGTGCGTTGCCACCTGCCTACCACTGAGCGCGCGCACTTTAGTCAGTACAAGAGTGCTCAGACCTTGTACGACGCTGTAGTTGCGCGCTACTCTTCCCCTGCCACTGCTGCCCTGAGCCGCCTCATGCTACCGTACCTCTTTCCTGACCTTGCTGCCTTTCCCACTGTCGCTGACCTCATTACGCACCTCCGCACTAGTGACACTCGCTACCGCGCCGCCCTTCCTGCTGAGTTCTGCGCCAAGAACCCCCCCCCCATGTACATCACTCTCTATTACATAGTCACACGCCTCCCTGACTCCCTTCGCGTAGTCAGGGACCACTTCCTCTCAGTCTGTCCCACCACTCTCACTGTCGACCTCCTCGAGAAGTCCCTCCTTGCGGCGGAGAAGAGCATCGTCGCTGTAGGAGCCTCTCGTGGTGACCCTCGCACCCCCATCTTTGAGGGGTGTTCTCCTTCCCCCCTGTTGCCCTCTGTTGCCTCTGCTGCTGCTGCCGACCTGCTTGGTCTTGAGTCGGTCTGCGCGGCGTCTGCCCCTAGCGGGAGACGCCGCCCTGGCAGGGGCAAGGGGGGCAAGGGCGCGGGTGGAACTGGCGGGGGCGGTGGAGGTGGCGGTGGAGGCGGCGGAGGGAGTGGGGGTGGCGGTGGGAGTGGTGGCGGGGGCGGTGGTGGCGGTGGCAGCAGCGGAGGAGGAGGCGGTGGTGGCGGCAGTGGTGGGAGCGGAGGCAGCGGTGGTGGTGGAGGTGGAGGCGGCGGTGGCGGAGGGGGTGGAGCTGGTCGGGGTGGTGCCCCGCAGCGTAGCGGCTCTGGTGGTGGCCAGCGTCAGCAGCAGCAGCAGCAGCAGCGTTCGCGGGACATCCCCCCGCCCCAGCAGCTCCGTGAGTGGTACACGCAGCGTCAGCGGGGTGGGGGTTTTGGTCCGTGCACCTACGTCCTTCGTTCCGGCGACCGCGCGGGTGAGCAGTGTGGGGGTGCCCACCCCACCCAGCGCTGCTTTGGCCGCCTGACGGACGCTTGGCGTCAGCAGTTCCCCGAGGCTAGTGAGATTCCCCGTTGGGGAGAGCTGTCTAGGGCTGGCGTAGCTATCTTTGATCTTGACTTTGATGCTATCCTTGCTGCCATGTATGCTGTGACTATTAGTGAGGAGGGTGACTGTTACCGGTGTTTCCCGCCCGACCCGGGCATTGGTACTGCTGCGCTAGGTACTTCTGCGGCTGCTGCTCTAGGTGCCAGTGCGTCTGCACTCTCAGGTACTGGTGAGGCTGCGCTCTCAGGTACTGCGTCGGCTTCGGCCTCCCTCACCTTCACGCTTGACTCAGGGGCTTCTCGCTCCTTCTTTCGAGACCGCACCACACTCACGCCGCTTGGCCGGCCGGTTGCAGTCTCCCTGGCTGACCCCTCTGGGGGTCCTGTCCTCTCTCACTTCTCCACTGTCCTCCCGTGTCCGGCTGCCCCC